CTTCGAAAGATATAAAATCAGGGAAAGGGGGGAGGGGGGTAAAGCACGGTAAATTTGAAGGGTAACCAGATTTATTTTAATGCAGCATAAATCTACAGTGGGTTGGAAATGAGAGAGAGTGATGTTCACGATGGATGGGTTGCTGAGGGTTTTGAGTAGGCTAGGAGTCCATGGTGGGTGGTTAAATTGAAGTTGCCTACCCCCACCAGGTGGCGGTGGGCACCTACGGTGCCCATGTGGCGAAATCGTCACCTTCAATTTAACCATTGAACTGTTGATTTTGTTGACTTTTTGTGGTTGATGTTGATATATGTGATGGTTGATGTTGATATATGTGATGTTGACTTTGAAAATTATATCTTATATAATGTAAATCTAAAGCAAAATAATATAATTAAAAGACAATTTGTGTTGAAATGTGTCCGTAGCACGAATGAGGTCAACCCAGCGTGCTACTTTTCCCGTCAGGGAGGGCACAACTTATGTTGATTTTGGGGTATGCCATTTTGCCGGCTGCCCCACTATTGTGTAGACCATTGTGGACAATACCTGCCAACTCGAAAAAACATTAAACTTAAATACTTAACATTTGTTTATTATATATAGGTCTTTGATAATACCGCATATTTGAGTTCATCTCACAATATGCGTCGTTATCAAAGCTCTATATCCTTTAATTATATGTCATCATTCACCTCCTTTTTGTGAAATATTGAATAAATGAGATAAGCCGGAATTTATTTATCCATCCATGCAGTGTCAGTACGTAGTTACAAGGTTTACGGGTTATCTCCCCTTTTCTATGCATCAATGAAAGTGAAAGGTGGGTGATGAAAGTATCCGATTTATTTTTCTGTATTATGAAATACCCTCCCACCTCAACCCTTGAGCTAGGTGTTAAGTATATACTCTTTCTCCTTTTGTTTGTTTAATTTACGTTTACATTGTTTTACATGGGTTAGGTATAGCCAATTTATTAAAGTTATGGAAATGTTATTGAGAATCTTTTTCTGCTGTGGGGTTTTGTTTTTGTCTTTTCAGGTATTAGAGATTTCGTTGAAGGAGACTGACGGTGCTGATCAGAATTGCCCGCTATTTCCGTATTCTAGGACCTTTGGAATGATCTCTGACCGAATACCATGCGTGACAGGTGTCAACTTGGCGATTTATCCATGATTTCAAGGAGTTCGGGGAAAGACAGTAGACTATACTTCACAGTGGTCGTATTGGCGAAATCGTCACCTTCAATTTAACCATTGAACTGTTGATTTTGTTGACTTTTTGTGGTTGATGTTGATATATGTGATGGTTGATGTTGATATATGTGATGTTGACTTTGAAAATTATATCTTATATAATGTAAATCTAAAGCAAAATAATATAATTAAAAGACAATTTGTGTTGAAATGTGTCCGTAGCACGATTGAGGTCAACCCAGCGTGCTACTTTTCCCGTCAGGGAGGGCACAACTTATGTTGATGTTGGGGGTATGCCATTTTGCCGGCTGCCCCACTGTTGTGTAGACCACTGTGGACAATACCTGCCAACTCGAATAAAACATTAAACTTAAATACTTAGAATTTGTTTATTATATATAGGTCTTTGATAACTTGTAAACTATTGTATCAAAAGAGCTTTGACATGCAGGTTCCTAGAAAATTGTCTTTCCTATAGGTACTTTCTTTTATGAAACTGAATTGATTTTTTTCTAAATGTTTCTATAATAGGATTCTTGTTGTCAAATATCATGATATTTCTGATCATTTTTTAATTTATAAAAAAAACTTACTGAAATTCCTTACTTGATTCTTATAGGTTAAGAGTGACACTTGAACAACTTACAATTCCAAAAATATGTAAAAACTAATTCATATATTTGTTTTAATTTGGATTATTTTCAGCAGTTTGGATTCACACGGTATCACCACAATAAATATACTAGGAGACAAAACTTCTAAGACAACAAAGGGAATACATGACGAGTGAGTTTTATGTCATTAAGCTGAAAGGTTGGTTAGTGGTGGGGCTTTTGTACTTGTATTTCATTTGTTTATTTTTCTGACATGACCTAATACCCTTGGAGACCAAAATTTATTAACAAATGGTCATGGAGAATGGCCTACTTTTAAAAAATATTGGCCAGAATTAACAATTGAGGCAAAGCTTTTCTTGGCGTACCGCATTTGTGACCTGTGAAGTTTGACTTTGAAATTTAACTTAGCTTTGAAAAACATTTATCTTCGTCATAACCTTGCAACTGTTTGTGATAAGGATTTTGTATTTCACATGCATATGTATAGCTTGTGACAAGAACTTTTCTCGTTTACCAACATTTCCGACCTCATGACCTTTATATTAAAAATTTTACTTACCTTAATAATACCGTTGATAATGTAGTAAAAATTAATGCAGGGCTTTCATATATCACTGGTATATTCATTGGGACAGGGAATTTTAACCTTAGCTAGTAATGACCTGTGATAGAAGGCATCATCGTTTTACAAGCACATTCAGTGGTTTAAATCTTTTTTTGCATTTCCAGATCGAACCTTCCATTTCCAGTTTATGTTATAATTATAATACCCTGTATGTGTGTAGCAGAAGTAGGCATCATTCTTATTATTGTGATTAAATGCCTTATAAAGAGAAGACGTGAAGGTCAGAAAATGATTGAATCATAATTCAAATTTTTTTTACTGTTTGTTTTAACTATAAATTGGAAAAAAAAATTGAATAATTTTAGGTTCACCGAGGAACATCCATGAACAAGAAGCGTTAAAAGCCAATGATTCCTCACTTGCAATTGGAAGAAATGAAAACAAAAAAACTTATTTGAGAGAAGCATTATTGTGCTGATAAAAAAACTATCTTGAAAATAATAAGGTCCTTATTGACTTCATTACTCCGAAATTTTAAAGACAATTTGAATGCCTTAAGATGTATTTATACATTTATATAGAACATAAGTTTTTCAGTTCAATTCCAAAAGACATTTACTTTTCACGTAAAAGTGTTGAGCGTTACATGTGAGTGAAGAAGAACAATTACTGTGTACATGTATTTTAATTGACACATGTTTGTCACGATCCGAGCTTCAATCTAATCCTATCTACATGTATCTGTCCACTGCTGAGCAAGCGCTCTTCCAAAACAATACCTTACATGTATGTAATAAAATTTTGTAAACTATTAAGATAACTCGATAGGAAAAAAACTCTATTCGATTATACTGAATGCATTGTAAAAATTGATTGACTGAATTGATCAGTATTACACTATAGTGACAATTTGTAAACTTTGATTTGATTTATTCTGATTGTGATCACAATGACCTTTGGTAATAGATTTGATTTACTCTAGTTCAAATGTACTTTATGTGGTTATTCTTATGTCACGGGTTCGAATTCTACAGCGCTGTAGGTGCTAGCAAGAAATAGATCCCTCAGTGCAACAAAGTAAATATATCTAAATTTTAAATCCTTTTCAAAAATCTAAGTGCAAATGTTGGCGGACCTCTTATAATGATTGAACGGGGTTTTTACTACAGTTTGATTTATCATGTACAGAACTCTAATAAAACAAAAAAAAAACAATTGATCTTCCATTTGTTATTTCAAAATTGTTTTTAAAAATTAGAGCGATGTCTATTGGCTTATTACTGTAAAATAGTATATTTTCGTCAAATTTTGGTTAGGAAAATGTTTTGTTGTAATGTACATGAAATTTTAATCTAGTGGTGTGTCATAATTTTGAGGGTCTCTCCATGCCTATAAAACAACGAAAATCAGACCCCACGAAACGTAGTGATTTCACAGTATTTATATTGCCATTATCATAAATTGAAAAATATTAGGTTTTGGAGCAAAGGAAAGATGGAAGTTTAGGTAAAGTATGAAATATATGTATAAAGTACATGGAGTCTTTATGCTGTTATAATATTAGACTGGTTCCCATCCACACCAGAGTCCCTAGACGTTACGTGCGGTGTTGGTACTATCATATCTGACCCGTCATATTCCACAAAGAAACTGGCGTTTTTCAAGGTGTTATATTTACTAAAAATTAAAAATAAAATTAATTACATAATCCCAGGTAAGACTACCGGTAAACGACAGCCTACTACTTGGGCTGTAAAAAATTCAATTCAATATGACTTTTTTTTTCAGTTGAGCGATTATCTATCATAATAAAAGAACCTCTACTGATTCACAAAGACACATCCGCATAAAAATTATTATCAAGGAGTCTAGCATCGTCGGTAAAAGTCTAGCCGTGTACTCAACATATATACCATATGTCTTTGTATTATTCTTCAACTCATAAAATAAAACTAAATAAAAACTCCCATTTTATGGTCTGATATCCATTCAACATATTTAGATCAACCGTCCACTCACAAAGAATAATCTCCCACGATTTGATGTTACATGTATGTATGTCTCAAAGATATTAATTACAAGCGTAAAATAAGGAATGTATACAGCATATCCTAGTAAGTTTAGTAGCGTCTGAATTTATCTGTTTTGATTTTCATTCGAATGTTATTGTTACTATGTCTGAACCTAACATGTTTTGATAAGCATCTGCAACATCAGATAAATCGTTGGTCGTTATTAAATTGTTCCTGGTGTTAAATTTATCACGTAGAATCCAACCAAAATACACCATATAAAGTACTGCACAAGTCGTACCAAGCGTTGTAACTGAAATTCTAAGTTTCCTGTTCATTTCATTACTGCTTTGTTTCCTTGTCTGGTATGATTCTGTAACGTTTGGCGTTATAGAATCCTTGTCTGTACTCTGTGTAGTCACTGTAGTCATTTCCCACTGTGACTGACTCACAGTAAAAAGAAATGATGTTTTTTCTTGAAGATAAAAAATAATTACCATAAAAAGGTAATAAGTAACAATATACCATAAAAATGATTGATTTATTTGATATACATGTTTCAATTAAGCTTAATTAAGTCTGTTTTAGTGAGTTTAACTTTTACATTTTTTAGCTGATTCTGGACAGCCTGTTCTGTGGTCACATGATTCAATACCACAATTCTCACACCGCTTGCTGCATAAGTAGCCCTACTGAGGATAATGACACAATGTGGAACAATTCCGTCCAACAAAGCCAGGGTTACATTCTGGAGATTAAATGTCACAGAGTATGGTACGGTCATAATGTATTGATATAATATCTGTTTTAGATCAGAAAATGCAGCACAAATCCATAATATGCTTGAAAAATATGGATTAGTACTGAAAAGCACTTTCAAATGAAACATGATCGTGAAACTAATACATGGAATTATGCACTTTCTAGCATATTTAGTATGAAAATCCTTTATTAAGTAAGCTTTGAGCAGTTCATATGTTTTAAAAGCGGAATCACTTGAAACTGAACTGTGAAAACAAATCTTACCGGTACATTTTCTAAGAGTTGTATTCCAAACACTGTCATCCCCACAGGTCATGTTTACACTGTTGCTTAAACACACAAATAAAGTCACTCGCATATCTTTTTAAGATTCTTACAAAAGAATATGAAATTGATATCGGTTTTACATACCTTTGTTCAATTGTTTTTCCAGGTTCATTTCCTTGGACTCTGTACAGAAATACGATTATATGCGTTGCACCCAACTGCATTATATGAGTTGTAGAAGGATGAACTTGACATGCTAATGAATCAGTTAATAGTGTTATTAGATTAAAACTAGAAAGTACATGTAGAATGCTAATTCAAAATAGGAAAAGATATTTTAAAAATACAAGGTTAAAAAAAAATTTTAAAAAGTTTCTTCGATATTTAAGAGTAGTTACCTTAATAGGAATGTGCTTTTTTTCTCCACCATTGTCTCTTTTATTTGAAACAAGAAAGCTATAAAGCACGGCTGATTTCCCATTCAAACCAAAAATTGTTTTAATGTGTATATTTGAATATTTATTTATAATTTGCGAACTGTAACAACAGCTTTTTCTCAATGTATCCAAAATCTTTAGAAAAACTCAGCGGGAAAACAGAGCTTGCAAATTACCGTTACGATGTAGCATGATAGGTACTTTGGTCGTCTATGTTCGTATTTTAGGATAAGGGCCCTGGATCATGAAGTACCTTAATTTAATATATTCATGTTGTACTAGAAGTTTGATTAAGTCAAATAGACAAAAATTAAAATATTTTTTATTGTCATACCTTAATTTACAAATTTATTTCTATTCAAATCTATACGAAAAAAGTGTAAAATTTCTAATGTTTTGCTGAGCGGGCATAAAAAATCGATGTTTGTCCGCTAAGTGAGATGTTGGACCGGTCGATGGATGTTGGACCACTTACCTCACAGAATGGGTGGAGCTTAATCTCATTTGCATTCGTTAGTGTTCAAAAATGACTGTCCTGAGGTCACTTCACGGAAGACAGTAAAACATACATGTTGGTAAAAAAAAAATAGTAAAATGAAAGGTATAACAAATTATTTATTGACTGAGTTCGAGGGCAAAATGCGTTTTGTCAACCCTCGACAAAACGCATATTGCCATCGAACTCAGTCAATAAATGTATAATATTGCTTTACAAAAATTTTTGTAATCTGCAAAATAAGAGATGCGTTAAATAATTAACAGACAGTTTACAGACGATTAAATATTTGAAAAAAAAAGTCTAAGTCTGCTACATGATCCTGAGACCAGATATTTTAACCATAGAAATAAGCGACTGTTTATAAATTTGCACTTTGTTGCGATAATATAATCAGAAACTCTTTTAAAACACATTACATTTCAATTGCCCTGTGCAAATTTTCATTTTTTCCCCACAATACTTTACATTCTATCATACAATAAAAATCATATATTTCACTTTAAAATGCTTAGTATCATTCTATTTGAATCATCGAAATAATTTATTTTCAAAACAAAGTAAAATCCTCAAAATACAGTTCACATTGCTCTAGAACTTTCCGCTTAAGCAAAGTTAAACTTGAATACTTATGCTTCGTGCGTTAATAATTGGGAGCCATTGAACATGATTTGTATTCAATGATTATTTTAAGTCTCAATTAAAAAGATATTTTGCATGAAAAAGTAACCTGTTCAAAAGTCAATTTAAAAAATGAACCATCGAGGATACATGTACGTGAGATGATTCCTTTCAATAATCAATGCCCTCTGATAATTCTATAAAAAAAATTGTCATTGTCATACCGATCGATGTAACTGAAATTCTAAGTTTCCTGTTTAATTCATTACTGCTTTGTTTCCTTGTCTGGTATGATTCTGTAACGTTCGATATTATAGAATCCTTGTCTGTACTCTGTGTATTCAATGTAGTCATTTCTAACTGTGACTGACTTACAGTAGAAAGAAGAGATGTTTTATCTTGAAGATAAAAAATAATCATTTAAAAGTAATACTTAATACTTGTCAGTAAAAGTCAATTATACCACCAAAATGTATGATTTATATATTTTACAGACATATTTTCAAGTGTGTTATAGTGAGTTTTCTTACTTCGTTTTTCTTTACCTGATTCTGGACAGCCTGTTCTGTGGTCACATGATTCAATACTACAATTCTCACACCGCTTGCTGCATACGTAGCCGTACTGGGGATACTGACACATAAGGGAACAATTCCGTCCAACAAAGCCAGGGTTACATTCTGGAGATTAAATGTCACACAGTATGTTACAGTCATAATTTTGATATAATATCTGTTTTAGATAAGCAAATGCAACACTATATAATTTGATTGAAAAAGATGAATTAGTAATGAAAAGCACTTTCAACTGAAATATGATCGTGAAACTAAAACAGGGAAGTAAGCACTTTCTAGTATAATAGTATGAAAAGCCTTTATTTAGTAAACTTTGACCAGTTCATATGTTTTAAAAGCGGAATCACTTGAAACTGAACTGTTGAAACAAAAGCTCTCATGTGTTTGATTCTTACCGGTACATTTTCTAAGAGTTGTATTCCAAACACTGTCATCCCCACAGGACACGTTTACACTGCTGATAAAAACACAAATACAGTCACTCACATACCTTTTTTATAAGATTCTTACACAAGAATATAAAATTGATATCGGTTTTACATACCTATGTTCAGTTGTTTTTCCAGGTTCATTTCCTAGGACTTTGTACAGAAATAAGATTATAAGCGTTGCACCCAACTGCATTAGATTAGTTGTAGAAGGATGAACTTGACATGCTAACGAATCATTAAATAGTGTTATTAGATCGAAACTGGGAAGTAGAATGCTAATTCAAAATAGGAAAAGGTTTTTTAAAAATTTAAAGTTAAAAAATAAAAAAGGTTGCATCATAATTGAAAAGGATTTACCTTAATAATAATCAGAAACTCTTTTAAAACACATTACATTTCAATGGCCCTGTGCAAATTTTCATTTTTTTCCCCACAATACTTTACATTCTATCATACAATAAAAATCATACACTTCACTTTAAAATGCTTAGTATCATTCTATTTGAATCATCGAAATAATTTATTTTCACAACAAAGTAAAATCCTCAAAATACAGTTCACATTGGTCTATGACTTTCCGCTTAAGCAAAATCCAACTTTAATACTTATGCTTCGGGCGTAAATGATTGTGTGCCATTGAACATGATTTGTATTCAATGATTATTTTAAGCCTCAATCAAAAAGATATTTTGCATGAAAAAGTAACCTGTTCAAAAGTCAATTTAAAGAATGAATCATCGAGGATACATGTACGTGAGATGATTCCTTTCAATAATCAATGCCCTCTGATAATTCTATAAAAAGTTTGCCATTGTCACGTTTTGACGTGGAAAACATGTAACTTTACCAAAATTTTGCACAGCATCAGCTCAATATGCCCGTAAATGCATGTTAAAAAAAACGGCAAAGAGAATCTTATCTAGACTACTTAAATGAATATTTAATAGGTTAACATACAAATATAAGAGTAAAGTAAAATTAAAAATTAATAGAAAATTATCTGAATGATAAAATATCTGTACCAGAACCTGATTCTTTGAGGCTTATCGTCATTACGTCGTGTTTTCTTTTCTGTTTGGTCATTCCTTTGAATGTTTTCCGATGTGTCTGTCTCATAGTTGCTGGAAGAAGTGTGGATTCTAAAATATTTATTTTTCTTAAAATATGTCTGAAAATAGAAGTGATTGATCGATATATCCTAGAAAATCAAATAATTTGTTTGTAAATGTTTCAAGTTTAATGGGGTTTTTTTGGCTTTTTTTCCTAAAAGATAGCAATTGGATCAAGATTTGCCAGCTGGTTAACGGCAGAACATTCCTGATTGATTAACCGGCTAATCGTATCGCAAAAAGCACATTAAATATTGCTTTTTTAATACATTTTACCTGTATTTATAAACACAAGAAGAATTCTAATAACGTTGGAAGTTAATGTAATAAAATATTTTTTTTCTGTTTTAAATAGTTTACTTCACTGCATAATGGCTCTGATGGCGATTATGGAACTAAATTTGTGGACTTCCACCAGCGAGTGGCGTCGTCTTAATAATACGAGGGCTGTTCAATAAATAATGTCCTCGGTGCTCGGAAAGAAGCAAAAGAAAATTTTCAATGATTTTGTCTTCATTATTTTACTTATTAATCTCTTTTAATTACAACACATGTCTGTAACCTTTTTTATCAAATTTCTGATTGATTTTAGAACTCATTTTTGGGTATGACCCTTGGTATACTGGAAAATGGCAGATCCAATGATTTCCTGGACTTGTTTCAACATAATCAAAGGTGTTTTATTTAGAAATAGAAATAAGTCAAAAGGTCAAAGATCTGGTGAATATTGTTAATGTGAAAAAATAATAACTACCTGTGTATCCTGAAAACCCCTTGACTCTTCAGGGCGTGCGGGTTTGGACGCTGTCATGAAGAAATTTAATGCAGTGGATTCCTGATTCTGGGTCCTTCCTCTAATAAACCTTTTGATTTTTTTGCAAAATATTTGCTTTTCTAGAATCATCCAGAAATTAAACTGTCTCCCCGAATAAGACTTTAAACAACAATACCACTAATACTTAAGAACATTGCATATAAATCTGTCTTTGTGCTCGTGCAATTCTTTGCTCTCGCCAGACCTTCCCTGTTTTTGTCAAGCACATCTTATGGTAGATTTTGTTTTGAGGATTTTAAGCAATAGATTCAAGTTCCGTTATCTGTTTGAATATCAAAAAAACGTGGATAACTCCAATTACTGATATTTTAAAATAATTCTTAAGACATTCATACACGCTGTCGTTTTCACTCAATTTTCAAAATATAGGGTGACCTTTGAGTACTAAGCTTTTTTACCGTCGAACTTTTCTTGAAAACAGTGTAAACTACCCCCGATGTGATGTCTATCAAATTTGATATTTGTCTTAAAGTCAATCATACATCATCAAGTATTTTTGTTGAAATTTGGCAAACTAGTACATAAGTGTTATAATGTTTTGTTGGCAAGGACGGTACCCATTTTTGATGCCCATTATATAATTTTTTATCATTGAAATCAACCTGCTCATTTGTCTATAAAACAGGTATTGGTTGCTGTAAATGTCACGTAATTCAGTGAATATTTCTTTAGGATTTTTAACAAGTTTTACAGCAGCTAAGTTTACGCTTTTATTTTCACTCTAGTTTACCGATTTTTTACCATTCATTTATAATGCAGTGTCTCGAAAAGCCCTTGTTTCCCAGCTTCTCACAAGGAAACTATGTGATGAAAAGTGGTCACATGAACTGTTATAAATTCAGTAAAGATTAAATCATGAGAGAAAGCCAATTTTATCTTCATATGATATCTATATTGTATGTCATACAGTTCAGGACATTATTTATTGAACAGCCCTCGTAGTGAGAGACGTTACACAAATACAAACAAACAATCAAAATAATATTACAGCATAGTCGAGGTAACCGCGATACGGTGTTTAAATAGTAATTTAAACACGTTACAAACGTACATGCAGACCAGTGATAATTCCAAATACAACAAATCAGCTTAAATAAGTTAAACACTAAAATATCATAGTTTATGCAGAGATTTCTTGTTCTCTTACTTTAAGAAAATTGCTTTTCAATTTACGTACTTGTATATTTTAATTGTTATATACTTGACTAATGAAAATTTAAAAAACAAATTTTCTAACCGAATAATATCTTCTTGACCGACTTATTAAGGTTTTCCGACTTCCTTTGGAAGATCTTACTGTTTTTTCTTATGTTTCCTATTATTATTAAGGTCTTCCGTCTTCAGCGAAAGACTTTCTTGTTATTCTTAGGTTTCTTTTTCACTTTTATTATTAAGGTCTTCCGACTTCCTTCGGAAGACCTTATTGTTTTCCTTCTGCTTTCTATTATTATTATTATTATTATTTATTATTATTATTATTATTTATTATTATTATTATTCCACTTTTCATGGTACAGGTTATATCTCAGCTGTGCCTGGTTGAATCCAGGGATGTCCCTCACTTTTTTGAAATTTACTTCCGTTCACGTTTTTTAGGGAAATTTGTATTTTTTAAATGGAATTTTGTCGCAAAAAATTCTCGAGAACGACAATAGATATCAAACTGAAATTTACGGACATGATAGAACATCAAATATAGATGTGTAGATCGACCTTCATTTTTCATCGTTCTGACTTCCGGTCGCAAACAGAAGTGAATTCAAAAAGTCCAATTTTTTAATTTTTTTTTGTTTTTCAGTATGTTTCTTGGGGATTCACAGGGTTGACAGTGTATCTTTTAACAATTCAAAATATGTTTTCAATATTTTCTTGCGTGCCTTTGTTGTAAAGATATGACTGATCCAAACTTTGTCACACTGTCGGGGGTTCGAATCTCGCCGGGGGCAGTTGAAATTTTTTTCTTTGTTTCTAACTTTTTTCAGTTTGAAATGACTTCTGTCTCTTTTCAAACATGTATTGAGGATTCTGCCGATTTTTTTAAAGCCGGATTATTGAAAACACACCTTTGTCTGTAACTTTTTTTTTTATTTCTCAGTGGATTTTCAAACAGTTTTCAGATTTGAATTCAGCACTTTTTGACCCCTTATAGAAGTTTCAGAGGCTTGAAAAATTACTACTTTTAAAGCTCTCTTCATTTTATTGCGTAATTAGAGTTATCGTTCTTTGCACGGTTGGTTAGCGTAGAAAGCGAAAGTAAGGTTTGGTCCTGTTAGCTGCGTAGCTATACTTTTTTAACAAGCGCTCTGCTAGACTGGCCATGTATCCAATAATGGTTCCTTTCATTTTGCTACATCGAAGATCACATCAAACATGAGAGATCTCAGTGTTTTAAGATATTTGACCGGGAGACTTTACCCAGGTAGCACAAAACATTTTCAAAACATTTTATTGGTGTTGTAAAAAGGTTTTTTCGAAACATTTCAGACTAAACATTTTTAAAATGTTTTTAAAACATTTCCTCTTCTCATTAAAACATTTTAAAAACATTTTAAAAATGTTTTCAAGAAGCTTATGATTAAATCCTTTTGGAACATTTTTCTAAAATGTTTTTGAAACGTTTTAAAAATGTTTCAAAAGGTATGTTTAGCTTTCAAATATCAAAGATTTTTATATTACGTTTTAAAAACGTTCTAAAAACATGAAATGAAACATTCCTTTTCCATAAATCTGTAACATTGCATAAATACGTTTCTGAAACATTTGGAAGGAATGTTGTCAAAATGTTTTTGAAACATTCTTAATTCAATTAAGGGTATTTATAGCTTCCAAATATAAAAGATCTTATAAAACGTTTTAAAAACGTTCTTAAAACATGAAATGAAACATTCTTATTGTGTAAATCGGAAACATTCAATATACGTTTCTGAAACATTTGTAAGGAACATTTTAAAAATATTTTTAAAACATTCTTAATGTCGCTGTTGGTTAAAAACATTCAATTCCAGATATTTTTCGGCCTAGGCAGTGAAAATGTTTATTTAAAACATTAACTAAAATAATTATTTTCACTACAATTGAAACATTTTAATTATAGTTTATGTAGCATTTTTTGGAAACATTTTCAAAATGTTTCTGAAACATTTATGTAACTGCGGCACAATTTAATTCATTTAGTAACTTTAAGAGTATGTCGTGAGAATGATCTTGGAGCATTCAATTTAATGTGTTTTCTTTCTGAAAAATTCATTTTTCATTGCTGCTGTTATTTTCAAAATGTTCTTAAAACATTCAAATAATGTATGATTGCGATTTTCCTAAAATTTAGTTTATGAAGAAAAAAAAGAATATATAGAAAGAATAGTGTTAAAATGAGGAATTGTAGAAAGTTTTTAATTGAAAGATTTTTCCCGGTATTTTATAATGATTTCTAGTTTTGGCTTATTGATTAAACAGACATAATTTTTATAAAGTCCTTTGATTAAACAAATCAAAAAATCAATTAATGAAAGGATAGGCAAACAAAAAAAATTAAAATATAAATAAATGTATAAAATAATAAGCATTAAATAAAACTCTTATTTCTTTTTAAAAAAAAAAAAAGTTCTTCATCAAATCTGTGATCCACTCCCAGAATTTTACTCTGAGGCATTAGATAGGGATTGGCACACTGGTCAGTTTCAGTGTCATGATAACCTATTATGCAATTCTCCTGCTGGGCAGCGCGTTACAGAGTATAGTGGTTTGCTGCTTATCTAGGCCAAATTTTGAATTCTGGTAAACAAGATGTGCGCGCTTACTCCGTACCGATTTGAATGAGAAGACTTCGCACCACATAAACCACAATCATAACCTCGGGATTTATTAACTTTGAATGGTAAGAATTATTCCTTTATCATAGGCTTTAAAAGATCATTTAAAAACGACTTTTATACTACCAGTGCATGATCAATAACTTTGTACAAATATATGTAGCAATGACAAAGCGTTAAGGTTATACATATTTGATTTGAATATTTCATTCTTAAGGCAACACAATTATATCCTTGATTCAAGTATTCATTGTCTTTGTGAAATGTTAATCATCAAACAATATGTTGATTTAAAAATGAAATTTCTTTACAGCATGGTGTTGGTTGCATCATCCGTATTTTCAGATTCCCACATTCAAAAGACCCGCCTTTGGTGAAGGCAAAGG